CTTATACACATCTAGATGTGTATAAGAGACAGGTGTGTGTGTGTGAGAGAGAGAGAGAGAGAGAGAGAGAGAGGGAGAGAGAGAGAGAGAGAGAGAGAGAGAGAGAGAGAGAGAGAAACAGAATTTTTTTATTTTTTTTTAAATGCATATCATTGTTCGGGGGTTATTATTTGTTTTTCACCCATCTGAAAACGAACCCCCCCTCCCACATTTCACTTTTTCCTTTTGTTTAGTTATTTCTGGCGGGGGACGCCATACGCAGATGATGTGCGCGCCCCGATTTCGGGCGCGTGGCACGGCTGCGGGGTCGCGGTCGGCAGGCACATAGGAAGGATGTGATCGTTCCACCTATCCTCGGGGAAGAATTTGGGAAAAAATGTAAGAACATTTCCTCAGGGAATCCTTCTAGCGTCATTGTGACCCAGCCATTTCCTGCCCTAGTGCAAGAGACCTCGCGAAGCTCAAGGATCCGCGATAATCGGAGCGGCGAAGGCACACGTTGTCAGCAACTTTCTTCCTTTGGCTGATCGATTGGTGTTTTACCAGTGGCTGCACGAACATCTTGTGGCCTCAACGTTGGGATTTCAGGCAACGGGTCGCCAACGGTTACAGTTGGAGGACGACCGCTGTTATTGTTCGTCTTCAATTGGGGCTGTCGTCGCCGTGCTTCGCTGGGGATTGCAGTTCAACAGTCGGGAGAATTAAATATTTTACCCAATTCCCCTTCCGCATCCCCACCCATGTCGGCGACGGAAAAGGTTATGGGGGATTTGCTGTATGCTGTCCTCTACCGTTTGCTCCCTTCACCATTGCTGTTTGGTGGACGTCCACCGTCATCGTCGACATACGGCCTGTCGATAGGGGAACAAAGAATCGAAAAAAATCGTGAAAACAATCAAAAACAGAGAAAGGGAAGAAAAGAAGAGGAGCTAAACAAAAGGGAAAAAAGAAAAGAAAAGAAAATTAAAAAAAAAAAAAAAAACAACGAAACAGACAAAAGAAAAAAGAAACGAGAGAATAGAAAACGAAGAAAAACAAAAAAACGGGAAGAGAAAAAGAAGAAGAAGAAGAAGAAGAAAAAACGAAAAAAGGAACCACGAAAAAAAGGGGAAGGGGAAAACGATAGGTGGGTGAAAAAAGATCGGAAAGATTATTTCCAGATCGTATCCTATACGCAAGACTGCGGGGTCATATCGAGGTTAGCCCCGTTATTCGCATGAGTTGTGCGCATATTTGAACCAGGGTTATTGCGTACCCCCCTTAGAGCAATCCCTGTCCGGTGCATGCTGTTTAGCCGTGCAAAACCTGTGAAGGGGGCTAATCTTTTCCGTGAGATGCGGGGCTAGCATTCTGACCTACCTGTCTCTGCTGCTACCCATCCACACAACTTCTCTTATGCCAGGCTTTCTCCCTTCCTCTCTTGGCGACTCCTGCCCTCTTCTTCTCAGTCGCTTCGTGTCTTGCCGCTCTGTTATTCATGCATGTATGTATGCGTGTGTGTGTGTGTGTGTGTGTGTGTGTGTGTGTGCCCCGCCCCTGTCCCACCGGTAAGTGGGCTTCGGGCCAGAAAGCCGGATGCCAGGAGGCATCGGGCCATCCGGCCCTCAGCCCCCCGGTCCCTCACACACACTCGCAGACACCACAGAACACATATCAGTACATGCCGAATCTAGTAATCAGATGGGCTTTCACCATATCATCAATCATTCGCCCGGGCTGGTATCTCTGCCTATTGTGAAACACTCTATCAACGACCTTCCAACACTCCCTCCTACTAAAGCCATTGGAGACCACGGTTTGGATAAGGTCATGGATCTCAAGGGCGGCTTCCTGCTCGTCTGAGCAGGTGATGAGAATCATGACGGTTTGTGCGGTCAGGATCTGCAAAGACTGTGCGATAGAGCGATTGGATTTGAACCTCATGAATCTCACTGGGGAGAATGAGAGACCCCTCTTCTTGTCATGTTTTGATGTACAGTACGTGCCGCTCTGTGTGGAGGTGATTGTTAGTGAGAGGTTGAGGAAATTGGCTGCCCTCCCATGTCCATCGATTATGACCTCGGTCGTTTCCTTGACCTCAATGAACTCATAGGGGTAGATTCGTCGATTCGGGTTCTGGCCGTGGATTCCGTTTTCGAAAATCCTGACAATGATCGTGTTGTTTAACGAACACAGATCATCGATGTACCTATAGGTTTCTTCGAAACATTTAACCGTCACCCAATCCTGCATCTCGACTAGGTAAGAGATTAGTTCGCATTCGTATTTAAAGAAATACACATCACAGAAGATAGGGGAATATGCCAAACCCATCGGAATCCTGAGGATCTGCCTCCAGACTTTGTCTCCCATCTGCACAATACTGTTGGAGATTAGCCAATCACAGGTGTCGATGATCCCTTGCTCGTCAAAGTACAGCCTGTCCCTGTCCCTGTCCTGATCGCCATCCACCCAATAAGGGTGAGGTGTGCCATTGGCCGCAATCCTGATCGCTATCACGTCCCTGGTCGTTCTGGCCCTCTTCCATTCCATGGCGCACCTGACGAAGAACTTGATCGCCTCCAACAATCCGTCGCTCGAACCATCCGTCGGTATCGTCTCGAAATATCTGGTGATATCCCCCGTGAAGACGGAGTACACGTACCTCGGGATGTTGGCCACGAATTCCCCTATCGAGGAGATCGGCCACCAGAAGTTGGGTCTGATTCCGTGCTCCATACAAATCTCCTCGCTCTTACTCGCGCAGAGGGCTTGCACATCCTCCGTGAGGAGCTTCATCATGCTATCGCATACGCCTGCGACGGGGGAGAGTACCATTCCCGCAGTGTTTGTGATCCACCTGAATGTCTGCTTGTGTGCTTGGTAAACCGTCATGAGGTGCGGGAGCGGTAATAACTCATGTCCGACATGAATGGTGGTCGCAGCCTCTTGCAGCAATCTCGCCACTACCTGCGCTGGCTCTTCTAGAAGTAGTGTCAAATCGGGCTCGGAGAGTCGATGCAATGCCAACCTCCTGATGAAGTTAATGCAGACGAACGTGGGGGTGTGCGGCGCCTTGTCCGTTGGGCAGATAAGATATCTGCTGGTCAGCCATTCGAGTTCGCTTCTCACTGCCACGTTGTTAATAGGTTCACCCGTGATGTGCATGTTCTTCGTGCGATAGTTCCTGATGCACCGTCTCGCGTTCTTCAGGACAATACCCTTCACGCACCTTTCCTCCTTCATGGATAGCTCCTCGTCGCACCTGCGCGTGGTGAGTATCTTCTCGAGTGCCAGCTCGACCTCGTCGATCGTGAACTCCTCATCAAGCGCTCTTAGCGGGATATGATTGAGACCCGCATTGAGCATAAGCTGCAGCTGCCCGTTGTTTGTTACCTCCGTATCGTTGGTGATGACGTGCATGGTGCGTTCCTCGGGGAGCAACCTGATGGAAGCAGCGCTAAGGAACTCCGCATGCCTGCCCGCCCCACATTGGCAATAATCCGAAATATACTCTGCCTCCCACTCATTCAACCTAAATTTCCTGAATACCTTCGCCGGCTTGCAGATCTTGGCCCCCAGGGGTTCATCGTACCGCCACCCGATGATTACATCCTCCAACCAGTCCGCCGATCTATCTCCCTTCACCTGCCTGAGTGCCTCCAAAACCATCCTTCTCAGTGGGACTGCCTCCATAAGTCTGCTGGTGTATCGGATGTGCACGAACTGGTCCTGCTCCTTCCCCTCCCTGCTCCACGCGGATCTCCCTGATGGAAGCACGATCATGCTGCCTCCTTCGCTTGGATCGAAGTTCTCATCCTGCGTATGGCACGTAAGCTCATTGATGGGGTGATTCGACGTTAGAGAGGTTCAATTCCAATGTAGGGAGAATCAAGGCAGTAGACTGGCGATTCCCCCTTTCGGTGGGTGTTGCACATGTTCACCATATGTATAAATATGTATATATATATACACATTTACACATATAAAAACTTCAGCATGAGTATATCAAAAAATAAATCCAGGAAGTATATAAAAAAGCAAAAAAAGAAAAAAAGAATTAAAAAAACTAAGACGGGACGAAAAGACTTCTCACCGATCTATGTAGAACGAGTGATCGGAAACTCGCTTCGTCGGAAAGGGAATTAGGTAGGCGACGAAGTTTTCAGATAGCGGATGGTGCGTGAGTATTAGGGCGCACCAATACCGCCCTTCTTCCCCTTCCTTCCCCCGCTGGTGGATCCGTTCTTTCGTGCTCCGGCATTCTTCGCAGAGTCTGTCGTGGAGATCACGGAACCGGTCTGTGAGGCCAGAAGTCGAGAACTGCTTCTGCTTCTTTCGTGCCGCCCATCCATCGCCATATTGTGCAACACTCTCCCTCCGAGCTGCTCTTCTGGTGCATAATTGTCCCGTCTGTGATCCTGTGCATCTGATCTATCCGTCACCCCTACTTGGCGTGGTGGTTCCCTGGGAGGGACCATCTCTTGCACAGCGCCCGCCCTTTCCCTGGGTTCGTAGGGCAGTACTCGTTGGCGGGGGGAAACGACTATGGGTAAGTTGTTGCGCTGTTTCTTCCGCGCGTTCCCCTACTCATTCCGGGCACCTCTGGCTCTGACCCTCGTGTTGTTGGTTATCCTCGTGGGTAGCAAGACCCTGCCTATGGTTAGTGGGGTATTGTATCTCCATTTGTCTTTGCAGATAACCGATTCAGAGGTGAGGGAGGGGTCCTTTTTTAGGGCGGTGATTACATCGGTCATGATTTCTCGTATGAACATGAAGGTAAGACAAGCTTCCACCGAGGGTTTCCACGGGACGCATAGAAAGTGGATGAAAGTGGAGGTTCTCACTTTCACCGAGGCGATGTTGGGAAAAAGGATATCAGGATGTGCGAGCAGGTACCAGATCGCATGGTCCATCTAGATCGGTCCTGCCCCACAATCCTTCTTCCTCTCAGTGGCGCACCTGCACCTGAGATATGGTCTCCCGACATTCCAACTATTCTCTAGCCCCTTGAGATCGATCTCAGGTGCTGTCTTGAGCTTCTTATGCCACATCATCAGACTGGTGTATTCGCATTTCGTGTGATCTAGTGCCGATAGTAAGGGAAAAGTTAGGAGGGTCGGGTTAAATGCCTTCTTTCCCGGAGGGCAATACGGGAGCGCACCGGTCATCGTATTCGCCTTACACGTGACAACCTCTTCCTCCGTCAGGTTGGCTAGGAAAATAAGGGCTTTCACCGAGAAAGGTGCAAGGTGATTGAAAGTATCGAGTTTCCAGAGTGCCTGTTTGAACCCGGAACCAGTGTGTTCGACCCAGTGCAAAGAGGGTAGTGGTGCGAAGGCAGTGTACTGTCGCTCTTGCGAGGAGGAGGCTTTCTCTGGGTTATGGCTGGCAGTGGCAGTTCTCGCGGCGATGGCAGCGTTCATTTCTGCCATCTCCTCGTCGTCCAGCGCCAGAGTACCGGTGATGGTGCAACCGACCGTCGGGGTTTCGGAAGCCTGCCCCTGTAGGTGCGAATGGTCAAGCCCCCAGATTCAGAGGAATGTTTGCTCCATCCCCGCAGTTCTAGCAGGTAGCTCCACGCACTCCTTCTCGTAATTTATCTTCTTCCTTTCTAACCCAGTGGCAGTGTCCAGGAGTACTGCAACAAATGCATCCTTCCCCTGATCCCATACCCGTATAAGATTGGCTATGTCACTAAACCCGATCATGCAAAAGAAATTCGGGAAGTCCCTCGTTCCCACCAGTCTTTTCATCGCATCCAGGATCTCAGGCTTCAACGTGGCGATGAGTGCTTGCGCCGGTTTGCTGGGCCATGGTTGTTCCTTTAACCAATTGTACTTGGAAGTGAGTTCGTCCCACCATCCTCCTGGGAAGAACTCCTTCGGTGGAACCTGCAATGCAATCACAACAATCACGAAAACACAGTCGAAAATACACTCAGAAAAAAACGAACACAGAAAGAAACACACAGAAAAAAAAACGCACTTGAAACAAGAAGGGTTGGAGGACCGACGACCTGCTCCAGCTTTTCCGCCCATGCAAGGCACATCCAACGAACCAGGTTGTTCCAATGCGATCGTGCATTACCCCGAATTCCCTGGGTATCTTCTGGTGAATGCCTGTGCTAATCCACGCTTGGTTACTTATAGAGGTACGGTTGGTGGGACACACCATCAACAGCGTTGACGGGGGTTCATTCCCCTTGTGCGTGTGTTAAGATTACTCCATGATAAATATGTCAAAGCAAATACGGAAACCGTAAAGCCATGAAGCTCCGAAATAATTTCTCGACATACCCCCAGAAACCTTATCAAGCGAGCACAGGGCCCATTTTGTGGGATCTTGTAGATTTAGCATGGCCCCAACCGTACAGTCGCATATGTGCAGTATAGTGGCTTAGAGAGACATTTTCTGAGGACATGATCAGGTGAGGGAAAATACACAATCTAATTTTATTGCTACTAGCTCATGAGCGTATGTTCATTCGGATGATCGGGTGAAAACACAACTGTGCGTCTAAGTATGGGTGTCTGGTTACCTTCAAGAAGTATTTCGATATGCATGAGATTATTACCAGCACCGTAGTTTAGTGCGCAGTGGGCAGTCACGAAAGCATCTCAAAGTCGAGGCTAAAGGGATGAGCGGAGCTATTAATCCGTCGGGTCAGGGAGTTTCGTAATCCATTTGATGGAGAAAGATGATTGCAGATCGTACTCATGTCCCAATATCTATATATTCGCCTGTCCAATATTACAACGTATAACCGAGGCAGAATTCAATACATTCATTTATCCGTTGAAAAATAGGAGATAACTCAAATCTCCATACATTAATCTGGTCATACATTTCGATCTTTACAGTGGACATAGGCAGAAAAACCGAATCCATGCATAGTATAGACAAGCAATCACAACAATTTGCTGTAAAAGGAATCGAAAAAATTCAAAACACTTCGCGCGATTATTGTAAAAACTCATTCATCCCAAGATCTGATTCCTCCGGAGGGAAGGACACCATCCAGCATAATATCCAATCCGGGTATCAACCATAGTGGTTGATGGTCACTCGGATAGATACTATGCGTGCAGGCGGTCCTGTAAGCATCTATTGGAAAAAATAGTTGTCAATATGAGAGAGAACCAAGGCGTGGGATACATGCATCCGTATTCCGACGATCACATACATGAGGGAATAGTAATCAGACAGAGAACACAAGTATTGTACCGAGAAAAGTCAATCAATTCCCGAAAAAACATGATCTCTCTTGTAGCCAATCAAGCTGACGCGTCACCTCTCCACCCGTCCTTTTCATTCAACGCAAAAATAACAACGCGAAAATCCGTACGATTAAGAACAAGCCCGCTGCATACCCAAAGGTGGTTCCACGTAGTATGGGACATCCGTCTTGACAACTAAAGCCGGGAGGGTGGTGGCGATCCCTGAAGCGCTTTTCTGCCGTTAGCCACCAGTTCACGGCTTCATCAGAGGGAACACCTGCTTTTAAACATCATACATGTTTCGGGAGTCGGGGGGTCGATGGCGGCAGCAATGCTTGCAGGTGGTGCAAAAAAGCAAGAAATAAAAGAAAGGCTAACAAAGCAACAAAAGCAAGCAAAACATACGCCGAGACCTCAAATGCTATTCCCACCCTATCATCTGCCGTTTCTCTGTTCAGCGCCATCGTACCCAACTCTAACAGCCTACAAGCAGCCTTGCGCAGAAGCTCAAATGAAAAGAAAACCCACATTATTACATGCTCAGACTGCGAGCGTGCTTATTGCGAGACCAGCGTGCGAATAGAAATCGTGCGGGTTTGCGCGGCACATACATGGCATTTCATGCCTATCACTGCAAATAATCCGTGAATGCTTTGAGAGATGAGGGCGTAGGTCCCTATACCATGTCCTCCTCGTCATCGATCATCCGATCCAACAGCTCCTTGTCCACCTGGTAGTCCATGGCGAAGGTACCCAGAATGCAGCAATTTTCCGCTATTGGCAAGTACACCTTCCACCCGAGCACTTGAGAACTTGGAAATCTTGCCACCGTTCGGCTCGCAACCAGAATTACGATCGAACGAAAGGCAAGAGCGCTCAGTAGCTGATGGGATTCCGATGGCTATCCCTGTAGTACAAATACTGTCCCGCCATCGTCACTTTCCGAAGGATGATGCCCACGGGCGGCGCATCTGCCGACGATGTCGTGAAGCAGGAGAATGTCTCAAAAAATTCATAAAATTTAAAACAATAAAAAAAACACAAGAGAAGAAAAAAAAAGAAAAAGAAATGTTCCAATGTTCGGGGAGGATGCATGTCAGTCGAAGAGCATGGCAGTGGTCGACTCCTCCATTAATCACGTCGCGGAACACGTCCCTGCTCGAAGTGCACAGTCGTACGACCCATTTGCGTATACGCACTTACCTCTACACAAAATTCCTCACCCCCAAGGACGACAAAGCTGAGGAGCTAGCTTCACGCACCGTGGCACTCAGGATCGTATCGACACCGTATTGGGCGGGGAGCCAGTTGTTTGAAAATCGGCCAACAACATCTCAGTTGTCCTTTAGAGAATTGTTGGAAGAAGGTATACCGTATACGTGATGAAGATGCACGAGGCGAGTTCAATCTATCGTTTGGACTTTTTAGCGGGAGCTCAGCGCCGAGGACACATACGCGCGTCGTCGATCCACACCGTGAGGGTGATTGGGTTCAAGTGATGGCGATCTGGGGGGGTTGGCACCTGTTGGATCGTCGTCAGTAGAGAAGACGAGGGATCGACACCAACTGCAGTTGAAAATCGGTGTCGGCAACACGTCCTGCAGACATTCATCCATAGTGGATGCAATCGCCATCGCAATTGTCGGGATATCCGTCCACGAGACAACGCTCGACTGGCGGGGATCGGGATGACGATTTGCCAGTCGTCGTGGATGAATGGAGTGGTTGACACGTGGGGGCAGAACGACGGCAGCGATTGCGTCGAGATCGTGAAGTCGTGATAATGAGGGGGTTGTAGCGGCTGCATGTGGGTGGAAACGACGCAGAGAACGAGGCGCCCGTGGTGGACAAGGACTATGAAGACACCGACGATGATGACGAAGACTATGAAGACGGTGCTCGAGAAATTCGGTCACTGGGAAGAAATTCATGGTCAGTAGGGGGAAAAGTAGCAAGCCTTCTGCCTCGCAGAGACGACAAACCAAGGAATCAGCACCTGTGGGGAGCGATGGCGAAGGTGACGTGGATGTTGAGGGTGGGAGGAACTTCTAGTCGGTGGAGCACATGGTCGCCCTCGTAAGGGTGAAACAGGATTAGGATGCGCACCTAGTGGGTATGAGACACATGTTTGCCTGCATGAAGCCGAAAGAATGGAGTGAAAAGATGTTCATGAGAGGTTGAAGAAGGTAGGCATTGCAAAGAGTGCCGACAACTGCGGGAAGAAATGGGACAACTCGATGCAACAGTTGAAGAAAGTGCACATGTTCATGAAGGAGTCCGAAAAACCGGACTACTTCCAGCTGAAAGGCAAGGAATGGAGATCACGCGGGTTTAACTTCGTTATGGAGCGGGCCGTGTATGAGGAGATCAAGGGGTCGACAACGAAGTATCACACCGTCCATCCACGGGATGCTGATGGCGACAACGTTGGAGAGCGCTAATAAGGGGCAGTGCTCGATGATGATGCGACACTGTGAGACAATGGAGTCCGAAGTGGACGTAAAAAAAAAAACACTACGCGGCGTTCAGTGACTCTCTCTGGCCAGCCAAATCTCATGGGTCGCCCCCTGACGGAAGTAGCGGAGTCTATCTGCGAGAGATAGACACATGTATGGTGCATGCACACGCAAAGACGTCGACACTTTTATCCCTCGTTCCCCGATAACGTTCGATCCGCTCTCCTAGCAGTGCGTCCAAGCAATGACCTTCGATGTCGCCATGTTGTTACTTGAGCACTTCTGTCCTGTTGAAGTCCATGTGGACAGCAAGGAATTGCAGGATTGTCGGCACAAAACTGGAAGTCCACTCTCGTTGCCTACTCCTTACAAACTATTCATTTTCCAATTTTTAATTTTTTTTACTACAAAGTTCTGGTTAGGAAGTGTTGTGCACATCCTACTTTCAATTCTGCGATGGCGACTTAGCGCCAGAATGGTTTCTGGTCTCATTAAATGAATTTTAAGGGGTGATAATGCCTACTGCTATTCACTTCATGCTCTCTCTCTCTC